GAAGAGACAAAGGCTAGAGAACAAAAGAGATGAACAATTTGATACCCTTCAAGTTCAGCTAGAAAAGAGGGACCAACAATTTAATCTCCTTCAAGGTCAGCTGGCCAATCTTTTTGCTAGTGGTGCTTTTCCCATTCCCCTGTCTCATGAGCCTTCCCCAGATGCTAATCCTTCTCGTCGTGATCCTTTGAACCATGCCGACGATAAAGCTTCTAGTAGTAAAGATGGACATGATTCAATACAAAATACTCATTGAATGGTGTATATTGCTAAACACAGTTTTGAACTTGTGAATATTTAGTTGGGAATAGTTTTGAATGTTGATTGTATTGTTGATATTATTTTGTTATTGAACATTTGTATAGTTATTGTTGTGGTTGGCATTGTTGTTGATTAATCGTTGTTGGTTAATTGTGGTTGAATGGTAATAATGTAATGGTGCCATTATAGGATGGATATTGGTTATAATTGACAGGTGGTGTATCTTAAAAGCAAGCATATTCTGCCTATTATTTATCCAAAAATCTGACCAATTTCGGTCGGAATTCTCAAACAAAAAACCTAGAAATTCATATTTACCGACCGACGTCGGTCGAAAATAAATATTTTTATTTATTTATCATTTTATATTTCTGACCGACTTCGGTCAGTATGTTAAAATTAAAATGATTACATATTTCTAATTCCGACCGAAGTCGATCGATATTTTGAAAAATAATAAATAAAAATTTAAATAATTTCGACTGATTTCGGTCGGTATAATTATTTTTGTTAGTCAAAGTGGTCAACCAACGATTGAATTAACCGATCGAAATCGGTCGAAAAATTATTGACCGCCTTCGGTCGCAACGCCTTAGCGACCATTATTCTTCCGACGAATTAAAAGCGGTCGAAAATCAGTCGTCTTTTCTTTAATTCCGACCGATATCGGTCAGTATTGGTGGTCAAAATTTGACAGTTTTCTAATAGTGAATATTGACTAGGCTAGCTAGATCAATAGATGATAGGTGATCAACTTGTGGTCGCTTCACACTCATGGTAGGTGTTGTTACCTAGAGAAGTAAAAAGGTAAAATATTGTTGCACGCTCAACTAGAGGCTGACCCACATTGTGAGTTGAGGGGTCAGGGACCTTGTTAGCCTCGATAAAAATCCCGAATATATATCTTTTGTATATCTATACATATATATATACGGGACCCCAGCCGAACGGGAGAAGTGACATTGTGCGCTTAAGTTCCCTGCTTTACTGGATGGACGTGGGTTCGAAACCACCTTCTACTTTTTCTCCTCCTTTTCATTTTAGTTCTTGCCTTTTCTTCTCCTTCTTAAATACAACGTATTTATACTTAGCAAATTGCTTTATTTTTTATTTTTATCTTCTTCTTTTTGAATTTGATTATAGTTTAGCACTAACCAATAATAGTCAACTTAATTAATTTTTCCCTTTTCAAATTCCTCCCTTAAAATTAAAAGTCTCAAAATATAACTTATTGCTCTACAAATAAAAATATATATAAATCCTTCTGCCATAACCTTCTTCAACAATCACTTTGACACCGACTCGATAATGACAACTAAGAGTTTGAGACTTTTCTTCAGTTCTTTGACTATTAACATACCCTTAGTCTTGGTTTCTTTAGTAAGTTTTTAATAATTTAAAATTTGAACGCCCTTTTGATCGTTGATCCCTTTTTAAATTAAAAAAACTAAAACATTTAAAGTGTGAAATATGCTTAATCAAATACGTTCCCTTCCCATAAACCTATTTTGCGAAGAAATCTCTTTCTCTCTCTCTCTCTCTCTCTCTCTCTCTCTCTCTCTCTCTCTTCTTTTTTTTTAGAATTTTTTTTGTTTATACTTGGATGCTAAGTCATCATAATCATTAAGTTTTCAAAGAGATGCACGCCTAATTTTATCCTAGTGATTAACATACAATGGTGTCCCCGTCGTACTTAAATCTTGGGTCCTCCTCCGCGCTCAACTGCAAAAGCTTAATTTAGGGGTATGGCACGTGGACTTTTTGAGGATTTACCTTAAACTTCTTTGTAGGATTTTACACGCTCAAGCATCCAATTCAATTTTATTTTGACAATAAAGTTGTATTCGGCATTGCTCATAATCAGTTCAACATAACCGGATGAAACATGCTAAAGTTGATAGATTTTTCATCAAGGGAAAATTAGATGTAAGAATTTTGAAGTTGCTTAAAATCATGTAAAGATTAGTCTAATATTCTTACTAAAGCAATCTCAAGCCAAATATTTTTTGAAAATGCCTTAGCAAGTTGTGCAAAAGATAATATCTACCTATCAACTTGAGAAGAAGTGTTAGAGATATTCTGAGATTTTTTTAATATTTTCTCCGGGTGAAAATCATTTTTATCTCCCAACTTCGTCTTAAAAATTAAGCTCCTCCTCTAACATTAAACAATAGACATTCTGCTCCTCCAAACTCAATCGTATTTTTAAAATACATATTTTATCCTCAATCTCATTAGCCTTGGTGTCTATGTTTTTTACTTTTAATTTCACGATATTTTTCTTAATTTATATTATGAATTTACCTAGGGTGAAACTATTTTTTTTAAAATTTTAAAAAATAAAAAAATAATAACCAATCATATATAATTTATTTAATTGAAAAATAAAAGAAATAGGCGCAATTAAAATATTAGAATAATTTTTATATATTAATATCAATCAAATAAAAGTTAATGAAATAATATAAGAATAGAGGAAAATTCTATAATAAATTCCTAAAAGATTACATATTTATACCTTAGATGTTCTTTAAGTTATAGCTTCAAAAATACTTCACTAATAAGAATAAAAATACAAAGATACACACACACATAATAAAGAATAGAAGAGAAAGTAAAACTTAAAAATATATTTAATATTAAAGTAAAAATAAAAAAGAGTAATGATAAATTTTGTTAAAAATTCATAAAAATACTATTCTATTTAAATTTTAGGCGGAATGGCTTCCTGGCCATTAAACTTGTCGGGTTTTTAAAAGCCGATACATAAACTTTCTATTTTTTCATTTGTACACTCGAACTCATTTTTTCCGTAACTAATAAACACATATGACAAGAGATTATGCGCATATGTATTACACATACACATACACATACGTGTCCATCCAGTCAGTAAATGACCAATGGATGTCTTACACGTCAAGGGCAACCCTAACCCTTGTCCCCTCTTTCATTCCATAGACCGACCCCCCCTCCTTATTTTAACCTCTCTCTGACCAAACCCTTCCCTGTTCATTCCAGAATTTTGATGATTTGAGAAGGCGAAAAGAATCTGGAAAGTGAGGGGATCATATGTAAGGCCCATAGACCATCATAGTAGGTTCTCGCCATTGATGAACTCTCCATAAGTTCGAAAAACCTCGTCGAGAATGGAACTAATCTGCTCATCACTGAATTTAACCCTAGGATTTACAACAACCGTCAAAGCTGCCATTTCCTCGCGGTTAAGACCTCCATCGCCATTTGCATCAAAATTCTGGAAGATTCTTTTCACCTTCTCCGATCGCTGAATTTCAGAATCTTCCAGATTCTTTTCACCTTCTCCAACATTCAAAAAGGACTTGTTTATGGTGGTGGTTATGGCGTGAGGTCAGCAGTGCTGGATGAACTTCCAAAATCGATCATAATCACTCACCCCCTTCCAAAATCGATCATAATCACTCACTCATTTTTTGTTTTCATTTATTATCTGTTAATCTTGTTCTGATCGAGTTTCGTTTGGTCCAAGTGATGCAAAACTTAGCTTCAACTCCACAATGACAAAATATATAACTTTTCATCATTTTCACGGTCTGAAAAAAATTAAAAATGGAGCTTTAGATTTTACAAGAAGGAGGAATGTAGCTTCAGATTTAAAAAAAAAATGGAGGAATAGGGTATTTTAGAAGGAATGAATAAGAAGACACTTGAATACAACCCATTTTGTACTGTTGGGCGTTGGGAATGGGGCTTTCACTCTCCTATGCATCGTGTTCCTCATGCGGCCTGCTGAGTAGGACCAACTGACGTTACATGGGCATGGTCAATGGTAAAATGTGTTTATTAATTACGGAAAAAATGAGTTCGAGTGATCAAATGGAAAAGTTAGAAAGTTTATATATCGGCTTTTAAAATTCCGTCAAGTTTAAGTAGCCAGGAAGCCATTTCGCCTAAATTTTATTGAGCTTTAGTTATAAAATTTATAATAAGATATATATTTAAATTGGTAAAACACTTACCTAAAGACAAAATATATCTTATATAATATAACTAAAAAATATATATGCAAAGAGGAGGAATTGAAAATATTAAGGGTAAAATAGATAATGCACATGACATGAGGAGCATAATGTCTATTGGTTAATGTTGGAGGAGGGGTTTGATTTTTAAGGTAAAGTTGGGGGATTAAAATCACCTTCTTTTTTTCCCCATATATCCTTTTTATATTATTTCTTTAGTTGTAATCTCCTTAGATTAAGGGGTTAGTACAACTCTAAGTATATCTTGTCACCTTATTTACTAGTTTTAATGCATTATAAATATTGATTATAACAGTGTTTCTTATACGAATATCATTATACTGTTAGGCCACATATATATGCAAAGGAATTTGCAGAAGTTTTGGCACGACGAAAGAGTTTTTTCGGAGGAAGTTTGTCATCTTAAACATTGAAATTGATTTAATTTATATACACCAAATTACACACTACTATTTGTTTTCATTATACCCTTTACCGAATTAGGATTACTATATAGAGTAAGTAGTATATTTTTGTAGGACATCTTAACGTGATTGTGGAAAAAGAAAATTACTTTAATAATGCACATTAATCTGTTAAACACCGTTGAAATAGTTGTACTCAACCAGGGATAGCATTATAACGAAGAAGCAATGGTGTTTTTTGGTATCAGATCTCATCGTCGCAGAAATGTTAGACTCCATTTTATTTTATGGGTTCACATTCATAATAGGTTGAAAATGAAGAATTAACCAGGTGGATAATACTCATGGATTGAAACCTTCAAATTACAATTTGTCTAGAGCTGAACATAATACTAAATGAAATTCTCTTCATCAGTGGTCTCCCTCTACATTCTAAAAGAGGAGAACCACATGCACAAGCTCTTTTGCAAATATGAAAATGAACAAAAGAAACTACATGAAAAATGAAAAATGATAAAAATCAGATGGATCAAAGCCAATTCTTCATTTGTTCGCTCCCACTGAATCTTTCACGGCATCAGCAGCTCCCTGTGCCTTAGCCTTCATCTGCTGTCCAGTCTGCCATCAATTTAATGACGAAAATTGAGTTACTTTAAAAGAAACTTAATGTAAAATTTGAATATACAAATACTCTCTATTGGCAATATGCAATATCTAAATTTAAGACATGTTAACCAAATAAAAGTTGCAAAGCAAAATTAACCTCCTGCATGGATTCCTTAGCAGATTGAGCAGTATCTCTAGCTTTGTCCATCATCTGGCTAGTCTTCTCCTGAAATATTCAACACAAGATATGAATCAACACGACATACATTTAGATGCGGATTTAGAACGGATTCAATATTACCTTTATTAGTTCAACAAATTGCTCTCCACTTGATCAATAAGTACATATGACAAATATTATGGGTGTGTATGTCTATAGGTACAAAAGCAGATTCAAAATTTAAATTTTATACTTTATACGTTCAAAAAATCCGGACAGAGCAGCTGGCTTGTAGAAGTGCATTCCATAAGTGATACTATTATTTAAAAAAAAAGAACTTTATACGTTCAACCTTTAAGACTCTTAACATTAAACTCATTATATTTTTAAACTTATGGGTTCAGACCTACTATTTGTTACAATTTTAAAGAATTTTTACACATAAATTTATGCTCCACATCAAAAGTTATGGATTCAGATGAACCCAACACCGCTATTCTACATCCTTCCTTGTGTAGGTATATATTAGATCGACTTATTTTGAACCCACTAATTATAAGTTCTAGATGGCCTCTTAGTTGTACTCCAAAATGTAGTAATCATCTTCTTTACTGAAGAAGGGAAATTTGAGAATATTGATCTTGACCTGAACTTGGCCCTTAGCCTCGCCGGCATGGTAACTGGCTTTCTGAGATTGATCCATGTTAAAACGGCGTAAAAAATAATTAATACTAGTAGCTGTAATTTAGAGGTAGAAAAAACAAAGAATGTGTGAATTACTATTACAGTGGTTAGGTTGTAAAACAAAGAGAATTAATGATGAGTTATATAGGTTGCAAGAATAATGAAATGGGTTCTGTCCAAGCTAAAACTAAACATCAGACGATAATAATGCCCATTTGATCAGGACAACTTAAATTCTGTCCACCAGTTAATTAACAATATAATCTCCGATGAATTAGCCTTTTTTATTATTTTTTATAAAACTAGAATTTAACTTTTACTTAATAATAATTAATAGTGTAAATAAGTTTTTTATAGTATCAAGTTGCTTAAAAAATAATTATGGAACATCGAAAAATATAAAATAAGTTAGGTGCTATATAAAAAATTCTTATTTATGTGTAACATATAACTAACACTAGTTATGTGATGCTCTCTCATGAGTCATAACTTGCACGTGAACTATGTTTTTTGCTTACATAAAACTAAAAATTTAATTATAGAGTCCAAATTTTTCTTTATTACTACTTAACCTAGGGACCCAAAAAGCAAGAAGAGATGAATATGGTAACAAAATATTTCAGATAAGAAAATAAATCCTGACTTAACTTTCTCTTGTTTATCTTACCTCTCCTGCTTTGTCATAACGCAAAGTACCATACTAGTTTCCTGGTTGAGCAACAACTACTTTGAAATGACAAAGCGCCTAGTCAAACCCTTAGTCATCCCAAAAGCTTCGGCAAAATTCATTGCACGTAAATCAGTAAATGTACGTGGCGCGCTCTTATTTTACACGCTTCATATTCATATGCCCAACTGTTATATAAAGAGTCCCATTTTCTTATTATCTTCCACTGATTTTCTACAGTACCAAGCCACCCACACGTCTCCTCAATTTCCAGTTTTTTGCTCTCTGCCCATCACTGTTTGAGTGTTTTCTATAAATACTACGCACATTCTCTTCTTTTCAGTTAATCTCTTTGCTAGGAATTGTGCTCAGATTTCAGATTTTTCTTTCAATCTGCATCGTACGTAAGTTATCTCTATATCCTTGCATTCTTGGTTTTCATGATCTTGAATTTTGCACATCTCTTTAAATACCACTTTTCTTTTCCTTTGTACGTAATTTGGTTTTCAGGGCTTTGACTATAGAAGCTTTTCGGTGGAGGAGTTTGAAGCAGCGCCTCTAAATCGACGTTGGTGAGTAATTCAGGCAATGCTTAGCGGGTATTTCATTAAAGTTGCAGTCTTTTTAATCCCTTTTGTTTTTATAGTATCTTGGTTTGACTTTTTAGGAAAAGACCTAGTTTTTTTAAACAATGAGTGACCTTTATTTATTGTTGAGTCTTAATTCTTGTCTTTTGAACAATATTACATGGATTCTTCATATTGGATATGGCTCTTGAGAACAGTCTTGTAAGATATAACTCAACATGTTTACCCATTAAAATGCTGCTATTATTTTCCTGCGTGCTCATTTAATGTACTTGAATTGTATAACCACAAAGTAGAATTGTTATTCAGAAATCTTCTTTTAGTCACAAATTTATAAAAGCATCATTCTTTCCTATCTACTTGAAATTTTATTTCTTCTAATTGCCTAGAGTATTTGAATTGTATAACTAGCCACAAAGTAGATTTGTTTTTGGGAAATTTCTTTTAATCACATGCTAAATCAGTGCTTGTTTATTCTGCTTGAAGATATATGTCTTCAAATTGTCTGCAATTCTGTTGGTATTTATGTCTTATTGGTCTTATTATGCTACATTGATTTGGAAACCGATTCTGTGCTTGAAATTTATAAAACTGTATACGGTCAAAACCGAGTTTGCCATTCGTATAATTAGTCAAGATTAGAACATGATGGACCGAGAGTCGTCATTATAATATCGAGATGTGATGTGAAGCCGGGTTATCGAGCTCAAGTTTCATGAACCGATCAATACCGAGCTCAAGTTAATATCGAGCTCGAGTCGATACCGAGCTATGATGAGAAGTGGTGTTATCGAGCTCAAGAGCCAGAGACCGGTCGATATCGAGCTCTAGTCAATATCGAGCTATGATGTGAAGTTGTGTTATTGACCTCAAGAAGTCAAAGACCGATCAATACCGAGCTCGAGTCAATATCGAGCTCGAGATCCAGAGACCGACTAGTAACAAGACCGACCAAGATCGAACCGAGAGACAAAGAGCCGTTGTAGCCGTACTAGCGGAGAGAATCTCGGCGGAAATCAAGGAAAAACTAATTAACTATTCTATCATGGGATCCCCACTATGTATTTTTAATTATATTCAAAATATGATTTCTCCACTATATTAAGAGTGTCTATCATTTGTGTAAAGGGGGATTGGTTCCGACATTGATACACTCTCACATTTCAGAGATTATTGAGATACACACACATATAGTAAACATTATCCCCTTTTTGGGCTTTAGACATTGGTTCATCTTGTTCATTTATAAATCATCCTCTACTCAATTTGAATTTATATTTATTCCTTTTTTACAGTCAATATTCGATACATTTCTGCTTATTTTTCTGATTTATACCAAGTTATACCACATATCCTTAGAACTACGTATATATTCAACTCTATCCGTTTTTTCGTGTGAACAGTTTGGCGCCCACCGTGGGGCTAAGGATAACAGTGGTTATTTGGTACAAATCTCTACAAACATACCATTTTACACATTCTCTTGGAAGTGTTTTTGATTTCAGGTTAAAAACGACGAACTCTCAATTAATGACCCTACCTATCGACAACGAAGTTGGCCTTCAAGATGAGAACAACAACCTGACGAACGGGGATGAAAGGTCACTCGTTGATCCCGTTGGAACTCGGGCCGCAGATTCAATTGACATTAACTCACATGTGGCCATCGAGGCGAACCAATGTTCCGACCCCAAAAACAGCATTCGTGGTGGAACTCGATCTGCAGTTCGAGATACCCAAAACGTTGGAGAAGACGGGATCAACCTGCGTATGATTTTCTAAATGTTGCAAGCTCAACAAGTAGCAATAGCTCAGTTGCAGATCCAAACCCAAGCACCAAGCAGGGCCGAGCCCAGTCCACCCTGAGAAGTCACCCAAAAAGCGGGGCCAGCCATAATAAGATCAAATGAACAAGAATCGGGGACTAATCCCGAAATTGTTATGATACTCGAGGAACTAACAAAACGAATTGAGTCAGGAGAAAAGACGATTGAAGCAAACGACAAAAAAGTAGAAACTTATAATTCCAGGGTTGATCAGATCCCGGGGGCACCACCGGTATTGAAGGGCTTGGATTCCAAAAAATTCGTACGAAAGCCTTTCCCCCCGAGCGCGGCTCCCAAACCGATCCCTAAAAAGTTCCACATGCCCGAAATTCCTAAATATAATGGAACGACTGACCCCAACGAACATGCCACCTCTTACACATGCGCCATCAAAGGGAACGATCTAGAAGATGACGAGATCAAATCCGTATTATTAAAGAAGTTTGATGAAACTCTATCAAAAGGAGCAATGATATGGTATCATAATTTACCACCTAACTCTATCGATTCTTTTGCTATACTTGGAGATTCTTCCGTAAAAGCACATGCCTGAGTCATAAAGGTCAAAACCAGTAAGTCAGACCTTTTTAAGGTAAGACAAAAAGACAACGAGATGCTAAGAGAGTTCGTATCTCTCTTTCAAATGGAACGAATGGATCTTCCACCGGTCACAGATGATTGGGCCGTTCAAGCTTTCACCCAAGGATTGAAAGAATGAAGCTCGATGACTTCATGATGGTTGAAGCAGAACTTGATTGAGTACCCAACTGTCACCGGGGCCTACATACACAATCGATATCAATCGAAGATTAGAGTCGAAGACGACCAGTTGGGTTTTGGGTCCCCTATTAAAAGGGCATCAACCGAGAACCAAGGTCGAACAGGGACCGATACCGTCCATACAATAAAGATCGTAGGGGCAGTGAACCGGGACGTAACCCCGTACGAGACGATAGAAAAGGTGATCGAGGCCAAAGGTCTCGGGGGATGATGAACAAGAATGGGTTCGACATGCATATCAGACCTAAGGAAGCACAACAATTATCAAAATATAAGTTCAACATCGATGCATCCGACATCGTGTCGGCTATCAGACGCATCAAAGATACTAAGTGGCCTCGACCTCTACAGTCCGATCCAGCCCAGAGAAATCCCAATCAAATGTGCAAATATCATAACACCCATGGCCACAAAATCGAAGACTGCAGACAGTTTAGAGAGGAGGTAGCCCGTTTATTCAATGAAGGGCACATTCGAGAATTTTTAAGTGACCAGGCCAAAAACCATTTCAAAAATAGAGATTTCAATAGACAAAACGAACTAGAAGATCCACAACAAATCATCCATAAGATCATCAGAGGGATCGATATCCCCCAGGGGTTGGTTCTTAAACGCACTAAGATGTCTATTGTAAGAGAGAAGCGATCCCGGACTCAGGATTACACACCAAAAGGAACCTTGTCCTTTAGTGACGAAGACGCGAAAAGAATCATGCAACCCCATAACGATGCACTGGTAATATCTGTACTTATGAATAAAACTCAAGTTAAGCGTGTGTTAATTGATCTAGGTTGTTCGGCCAACATAATTCGATCAAGGGTCGTAGAGCAACTCGGTCTACAGGATCAGGTCATGCCCTCAACCCTGGTACTAAACAAATTTAATATGGCATGTGAAACTACTAAGGGCGAGATAATTTTTCCAGTTAACGTGGCCGGGATCATCCAAGAAATTAAGTTCCACAAGATCGAAGGCGATATGAGATATAACACCCTGTTCGGGAGGCCATGGATCCACTGCATGAGAGCAGTGCCCTCTACCCTTCACCAGGTTCTGAAATTCCCAACATCGGAGGGAATCAAAATGATCTACGGGGAGCAACCAGCCGTAAAAGAAATGTTTGCCGTCGATGAAGTGATTCCGATATCTTCACTATCATCGACAGGGATAAGATTCGAAGGAGGAACGGGATACCAAATAGCAATCAGAAATGCCAGCCTCGACCCAACTAGAGAATCAGAAGACTGACGAAGATGATGACTATGG